GGGTCCCATGGGGCTTCCTTCTTTGCTGAGTGGGTCTGACAGCCAGGAGTGTCGCTGCAAGGGTGGCCTCCACTCCTGTCACCTCTTAGGCACGTCCAGGCTGGGTGCTCTTTTCCTCTCCCGCCTCCCCCACCACCATCTTCCTTCAGGCCCAGGACAAAAGTCAGCCCTGGGGTGGGGGCCGCCTGCTGCGGGCCCCCGGGTCTCTCCATTCGGGTTTAGTGGGATTAGAGTGTGCCGGCCGTGGGGACAGGTGTTTCCTTTATGCTCTGCCTGAGGGCTGGAAAGAACCCCGTCAGTAAGTGCCATGTTCGGTGGGGGTCTCGGGCTCCGAGTGGCTGGGGGCGGGTTTTGTTAGGTCCTTGTTTTTACATCTGACCCGGCCAGCTGGAGAGCCTTGCTTCAAGCGCAGGGTAACAGCTGACATAACATAGCGGGGGGCTGCACAGGCCGCCCTGGCACCCGCTTTCCCGTGGGGCGCCTGGGGCTGCCGGGGGGAGTTGTTGGGGATAAGAGGATGAGCCCAGCGGCCCTGTGGCTGTGGGGCACGGCACGGTGGGGCCTGCCAGCTGTCCGCCGGAGAGTGGGTTGCCTGAGTGGTGTGCTGCGGACAGGGGCCTGGGGAGGGGGCTAGGCAGGGGCCTGAGGAGTCCCCCGGGGCACCACGCTCAGAAGAGCTCCGATCACGTTCCTGGCCTCCCCAGGTCACACAGAAGGAAAACCAGAGGCCCTGGCTGTGCGCCATTGAAGCATGTCATTGTGCGACTTCGTGGTGGGAGGGGGAAGGGGCTCAGTGCAGCCTGGCAGGGTCGAGGGGCCGCCACTCAAGCACCTAGGTCCCCGAGCCCCTGCTCCACCGGGCTGCCCTCAGAGCCAGGCCCAGCCGCTCCTTCCACTAGATCCTGTCCCCAGTCTCAAAGCCTGCCATGGCCAGGGATGCCGGGTGGGGCGAGTGGGGTCCCTGGGCTGGGGCAGGGGCTGGGGGAGGGGCCGCAGCGGCCTCTTCATAGCTGGTGGGAGACGCTCTTGAGCCCGGGGCCAGCCAGTGTGTCTGGAGCTGGCCGTCAGCTCCTGGGCTGGGGGTGGGGGTGGATTTCGCCCTTGAGTGTCTTTGGGGCGGTGGCAGTTGGGGGCCTGGTCTTTTCCCCAAGCCACTCTGCCACGAACAGCAGTCCTGCAGTCATGGAGGGTGCGTGCCTGGCTCTGGATGGTGGTGTGAGGCAGGAGCCCCTCGTGGAGGCTGCTGTGGCTTCCGGTGGACCTGGTCACCACAGGGCAGAGAAAAATCCTTTGTGGCCAACAAGCGCTTGAGCAGAAGGGCAGGTGGTGAAGGTGGCGAAGGGCAGGGCTGCAACTGGGCGGACCCCCAGCTGAGGAGGGTGACCACAGACGTGCACCCAGACAGCCACACGCGTGGACGTACCCAGGCCCCATATGGATGTGCTCACGTGTGTGAGCATGTTCAGGCTCCTACACGTGCCTGCACGCACACGTGCACACAGGCATACAGCCCTGGCGCTCAGCCGGCGGGGAGCGAGACCCCCGTGGGGCCGCGTTCCATTTGCACATTTAATCCAGAAACTGTCGGCACGGGAAGCCCGAACGAGAACAAAATGTCAAGTGTGTGCCGAGAGGCACAGGCCGCCCTTCTCCTGGCGGGGCGGTGATCTGGTCAGTCTCCGAGCAGCGTGTGCTGAGAATAATCCGTGCATTCAGAGCAGGGTGGTGGGGCCGGGGGAAGGGCAGGCATCTTTATTTCATTTTAAATTTCTTTAGCTGGGTCTGTGTCTCTTCTCCCTGACGGTTCTCCAGGCCAGCTGGGGAGGGTCGGGGGAGCTGCTTCTGCCCTGGGGGGTGGGGACCAGGGCCGTCCTTTCTTGGTCCCTGCTCAGTCTTGCCAACAGCGAGTTTCCCAGACTCAGCAGCTGCTCCAGGAGTTGGGGCTTAGGGACGGCACTAGGGCACCAGGGCACCCTTGCTGTCTGGGGGTTTTGTGTTGCTGCTATTGGTGTCTACTGAACTTGGAAAAGTCCCCTGGACTCGGGGCTCTCTCCACCTCAGGCTCAGGGTAACTTCTTTAAGTGGGGCCCACTTAGGAGCTGCCGTCCGTGAAGAGGTGCCCTTCACCCCAGGAGTTTAGGAATCACTGTTTCTCCCTGGGTTCCATGGCTGGCACCTGCGTAAGAGGGTGGCTGGTATGAGGCCCCCATGTCCTTTCTCCGTGGGTAAATGTACAAGGACAGAATGGCCGGAAAACACAGAGGGCGTATTTCTATTTACGAGACTGCCCCAGTGTTTTCAGAGTGGCCGCGCCCTTGGCCTCCCTGAGCAGGGCGTGCAGACGCAGGCGTGCTCAGCAGCTCTGTGGGCTCGGCGCTAGCCCATCTGACAGGGTCCCTGGAAGCTCTTTGTGTCTGAGTTTTCATTTCCCAGTGACGAATGACGTTGAGGACCTTTTCATGAACTTAATTGGCATCCAAGGGACGGGTGATGTGTTTTCTACGTCTTTCACCTGTTTTAAAGCCTGTTTGCTGGCCTTCCTGTTGGGCTGTAGGTGCTCTTACATATTCTCATCCATGGATGAGTTTTATGGTTTCCCCCAGCGTATGGCCTGCCTTCTCGTTTATTTAATAGCATGTTCTTAAGACAGAAATTTTCAACTTTATGCTATCAAATGTAGTTTTTCCTTTTAAATATTATCTTTCTTGCTTTTAGGCCACACTTAAGAAGTATCTGTCACTAAGATTTTCTTGTGTAGTTTTATTTGTGTGCTTAGCTTCAGGTCTGTGGTGGGTTAGTCTTTGCACCCTCGGGGAGGATGGTGGGTGGTTTTCTTGGGATCACACTGGACCTGAAGACCACCCTGGTGGGTGCCTGCATCTCGTTGCACTTGTGATTCTCCTCCACTTCTCATGACCATGCCAAACTCACCGTTGGTTCTAGCAAACTACTTTTGCCACGTTCACGGATTCTGTTCTCGTTGCTTCCCGCAGACGATGACGGAGATGCTTTACCCCTCTTCCCGTCTGGGTGGTGTTTATTTCTAGCCTGGTTTCAGTGGCTGGCCTACCCAGCAGTGTTCAGCAGCATGGGGGAGTGAGGTCCACTCTTAGGAAGCTCCTCGGTCCCTCACCATCTGGAGAGACATGGCAGGAGGTTCCGTAGAGGTCCTCAGTCAGGTTGAGGAACACCCCCGGGGTGCCAATGCCCAGGGTTCCTTTGTTTTCGTGAGACGGTAGCTAATTAGGGTCTACACTTAGTGGGCAGCTATGCACAGGTTACTGTTTGGTCTAGAGTGAGCTTTGGTCCGTGGTGCGTTGGCAAGAACTGCTTCCCGTGAGCCAGGTGGTGCTCTGGGCATGGGTGGTTGGTAGTTCTACACTGTCACCCTTCCAACAGCAGTACCGTTGGTCGCCATATCACTGCTGCTTCTGGGAATTGGGAACTTTTACCTCTTTTTCTTCTTTTTATACTGATCAGTTTAGCTGGAGTTTTAGCAGATTTACTGACGTCTGAGAAGCATCTTCTGGGTTCACTGGATTTTCCTCCTCTTGGCTGCCTGGGCTCTGCTGATTTTGCCAGTTCTCACTCTGCTCCCCTGCTGGGAGCTGTTGCGGGGCTCTGAAGGTGGGAGTGAGGTCCCTCTCACATAGTGCCGGGGCTGTCCCCTATCATGGTTCTCCCTTGACCGCGGGTTGTTCAGAAGTGTGTTTCAGGGCCTTTCGGTTGCTGGTCGGGCCTCCGTACATTCGTAGCTGTAGGAAACACTATGATTGGGATATCTGCAGTCTATCAAGGCCTGGCTTATGGCATGGAGGACAGTGTGTGAGTCCCGCTGCGGGAGGGCTGTTCCATAAATGTCGGCTCATGCGTGCCTCGACTGCCCGTGCCCACTGTCCCTTCTGTGGTTTCCTCCTCCTGCCCCAGCAGCCCTGAGTGAGGGGCCTGAGTACCCAGCCCCGACGAGGACTGTTGTGCCCACTCTCCCAGCGCTGGTGGGTTCCGCTCTGTGCGATTCAGGGCTCCGCTGCTGGGCAGCCGGTGCTCAGGGGCCTGTCCTCCTGATGAACTGTCGTGCTCATCATCAGGAAGCTGTCTTCTTGATCCCTGGTAATTTTCTTTGCTCTGAAATTGGCTTTGTCTGATACTGACACAGCCACTCTGGCTTTTTTCCTTCTTTATTAAATAATTGGGGTTAGCGTGGCACACCATTTTCACTTATTTCGCTGTGAGCCTCTGGCTGGCCGCGTCTCAGGCGTCTCTTATGGGAGACGCTATTGAGCCTTCCTTTTTTGGAGTCGTTAAGACACTCTTACCCTGTCGGGTCAGTTGAGCACATTGTGTTTATCGATACGACGGACGCTCCTGTTCTGTGCCTGTCCCTTATGATCACGTGTGGTTGTCACAGAGGCGTGGGCTGTTCACAGGACACCTCTAGGAGGGCTGTTTGTCCCAGGGTCACCTTGTGCGTTTCCTGGCCTCTCTTTCTGGCTGATGGTCTGTATCCATGTCCTCTGACCCCCCCACTGCCCATACTAGGGGTCACGAGCCGTCCCTGTCAGTCTCCCTCGTACCAGGTTCCAAGCCTGCTGACGGGACATTTCTGGAGTCGGTCTCAGAGTGCAACCCTGATACTTTAATCAGTTCACATGGTGCTTTCTTTGTGTAGACCCCATGTCTTTACACATGAAATTATTAAGAGAAAAGAAAAGCAGACTTCTTATTTTCCTTGTAATCAGAAGGCCGGTCAAAAAATTTTTTAATTACAAAAAGAAAACTAGTGACCTTTATCCAGTGATTTTTAAAACAGTGAATCTAGAAATATGAGAGAGCAATGGATTTTTATAGATAGTTGGATGGTGCTTAAAAAAGATAAATATTGACTTTTAAATGAGAGTTCAAAAGAGAATCAATAATAGAAAGTAGACTAATTGCTAAATAAACAATGCGTTTCTGGGGGGGTGGTAAGACCACAGAGGAATTTTTTAACAAACCAAGACGGCAGTTGGAGTCGTTTTATTTCTGCACGTTATTACAATGATGTAAGTGCTGCTGTGTAAACCTGGTTAAGAACGTGACAAGGACGGGGTGCAGGGTGTCCTCTGCAGGTGTCTGGAGTCTCAGTGGGAATGTGAAGGACCAGATACTGCTGTGGGGGGGTCCAGGAGGAAGAGGGGCTGGGCTGCTTTCCAGCTCGGGTTTTGGTGCCAGAGCAGGGGCCCTGCATCCGCCACCAGGGTTCGGCACCCCTCTTCTGAGGTCCAGCAGCCTGGACCTGGGAGAGCTGGAGGCAGGACGCACACCTCAGATCCAGCTCTTCCAGGGAGGTGGGCCAAGGTCTTTTGCTGATTCTGCCAGATTTTGTTTCTCAAGAAAACACAACAGAGAAATGGATCTGCACCAAGATGGCAACCCAGGGAGGGTAGACGCGCCTGCTGCCGCTAGCTGGGCCCGCCTGGCCGTCTGAGAGCTCCACGTTGGACAGAGGAAGCTCCCCACAGCCGCTCCACTCCACTCCCTTCTCTAGACCTGTAGGGGCAGCGGGGTGTCCTGAGAGACGCCTCTGGAGCTCACGATCCCTAGGGGAGTCTCCTGAGCGGGTCCAGAGGTGTCGGGTGGGGAGGCTGGGGAGACTGGGGACGGCGCCCCGGGCAGCCTGCACCGTGCTCCTGGGCGCACACACGCGTGATGGCATGTGCGTGGGGTGCTGGGCAGGAGCTGCACGTGCGCACGCTCACATGGACTTGCTGAGGGGGATGCCTCCATCCCGGGGCAAAGCAAGGACACGGTGGCAGTGAACAAAGGGGCCCTGTCTCCCGCTCGCAGCCCCCGCCCCTGAGCTGCTCCGGTTGGAAAAACAGCACTTTAGAGGATGTTTGGTGACAGGTGTGGGCGCCCGGGCAGGACCTGGTTTCTTCATCTCGGTTGGCTCCGGGTCAGTGCCACGGCACTTCCTCTGAGGAAGCAGGCCCAGGGGGCAGATTCTGGTGACGGTGTTGGTCTGGAAGCTCTGGGTCCCCAACAGTGTGGTGGCCCTCTGTCAGCAGGCCACACTGTCCAGCTGTGCCACATGAGCCTGGGGAGACAGGAAGCTGGGAAGGGGGCTTCCCAGCCTCAAGGGGCCCTGGGCTGGGCACCTCTCCTTGGCTGGCCTTCCCTGGAATCCCACGCCTCCCCTCTGGCCTGCTGGGGGCATCTTGGGGCCTCAGTTTGACCCATGCCCTTGGGTGCCTTGGAAGCCTGATGGAGGCTAAGTGCGAGGTGGGTCCAGCTCATAGAGAACTTGGCAACAGCCCAAGTCCAGGGCGTCTCCAGGAACTGCTCCCCACAGCGCAGCTTCCTCACAGAGTAGCTGGGATGGAACACGGGCAGCTGTGTGCTGTGTGGCCCTTCCCCGGGCGCAGGACCCAGGGCCTACCTGAGAGAGGCCCGGTGGGCAGCCAACAGCAATGGCGTATGGCCCCTTCGCCCACCCCTTTCCTGTGCCGCCTGGGGTGGGTGGCCCTGTAGAGTCGGGGCTTTTGGCCCTGCCTGTGGCCCCTGCCCCCCAGCAGGAGCCCCATGGAGCAGGACCCAGCATCTGTGTCCCCCGCTCACCAGTGCCCCTCCCTGGTGGCTGTAGGTTGGATGGAATGGCACTGGGAGGTGGGGAGACCACCTGGGGAGCCGCCGAGGGCAGCAGGGAAGTGGCAGGACTAAGCTGCCGCTCACTGGTGCCCCCAGAGCCCTGGGACACACCTTGGCCAGGGCCCTGGGCTCGATGCTAGGAGGCAGGGAAGCCGGCGAACCTCGGGGAGGGGTGGAAAGGCCCTGGGAGGACAGCCCGGAGCTGGAGCCATGGAGCCCCCATCCAGGCAGGCTGCCTGGCTGTGGCCTTGTTCCCAGGTCCTCGACGATGACTTGGAGTCGAAGTTGGCGAGCGTTGCATGTCAAGGGCCAGGGACATCAGGCTGGGGCGCGGACGTCACTCCGGCAGTGAGGCCGAGCCTCCACCCTGTCACCCCTGAGCCCTCACTGTCTCCAGGCTGTTCCTATGGCACTTCAGTCCCACAGGAGGGACCCTGCTGGCCTGGCCGGGTGGGGGAAGGCCACTGGACCCTGGCTGCAGTTCTTCCACGCCACGGCCCCTGCCTCCCCCTGGCCTGGTGTCCCTCCCCAGGTCATGTGGGTCAAAGGGATGGCAGGAGGGCTGGACAGGGGGAAGACTGGGCAGTCACCTGAGCAGCTGAGCCGGGGTCCAGGGGCAGCAGGAAGTGGCAGGGCTGAGCTGCCACCCACCCCCACGGAGGGCCTGGTTGGCATGCTGGGATGGGCCCCGGGGACACAGGCAACACCCCTCACAGGTCCCTAGGAACAGGCAGGGAGACGGCTCCAGGGCCATGAGCCTGGTGGCCCCGAGGGCGGTCCAGGGGGAGGCCAGGAGCTTCTGGGAAGGACCCTGGGGAGACAGGGGCTTGGTGTCGTGTTTAATCTCCAAAACCCACATCTTCGACTTAGTGACTCTTAACAACTCTTAACAACTTAACAACCGGGGCACATTTGTTGTGTGTGTGTGTGTGTGTGTGTGTGTGTGTGTGTGTGTCTTAGGTGGGTTTCATGATTTTCTGATTGCTTCCTATTTGGGGCTCAGGGCTGTTGACCATTCTCCCCTTGATACGTGTCCAGTTCGAGGGGTTCTGCAAATGCCTGCAGCTGTCAGCCCCCTGGGTCCCAGGGAGAGACAATGCCGACGCCCGGGGGCGCCTAGCACCAGGGAACACGGTGCGGCCCGCCGCCTCTCCGGCGTCATGAGGTTGGAATCTGCCGCGTGCACCCCGAGCCTGGCTCCCACCCCTTGGCACGGCTCGTGTGGGGCTCCTCTGTGTCACGGTCTGCGTTCAGTAGTTTGTTTCCTTTGTTTGGAGAGGATAAAGTGTACCACAGTTTGTTTATCCGTTCACAGGCGGACAGACACTTGAGCCGTCCCGTCCAGCTGTCGTGACGAGGGCTGCAGGATGTGCGCACAGGTCTTGGAGTGATCATGTCTTCATTCCTCTTGGGCCGGGGCCTGGGAGCGGGGCTGCTGGATCCTGTGGCCAGGCCGCTTCCCGTCCCGATGAACTGCCAAGCTGCCTGCGCAGAGGCTGTGGGCGCCGTGCCCTCGCCGGCGGCCTGCGAGCGGGCGCCGAGGCGGCTACACTCTCCCCAGCACTGAGTGTTGTCTGCGTCTTGAGTCTCGGCCCTCGTGTGGGGGCTCCCTCTGCACCCCAGGGACTAATTGGCACACGTGCCATTCACAGGTCCACCAAGCACTCAGAGCCCAACCGCGGGGTGCTGCCTTCCTGGTTCCGAGCTGGGGGAGTTGGGGCCGCAGTGTCGACGCGAGTCTTTGTAGATCTGCGGTTTGTGGATATTTCCTCCCAATCTCCATCTCTGCATTTTCCCAACAGGATCTTTCAAACGAGCAGCAGTTTTTAATTTTGATGATGTCCAATTCATCAAGGCTTTTTTTTTTTCCCCTGAAAGGTTCATGTTTTTTGTGTTCTAAGAAATAGTTGCCTAATCCAAGGTTACAAAGCCTTCTCTCCTGTTTTCTGTAAAAACCCTACAGTTTCACATTTCTTGTTTAGATCTGCGATTCATTTCAAGTCTGATCTTATGTACGGTGACAGGCACGGATCGAGGTCAAGTCTTTCTGCATGTGGTTACCCCGTCTTCCCAGCAACTTCTTTCCATGGAATTACTTTGGCACCTTTGATGAAAATCAGTTGGCCGTGTGTGTGGGTCCGATTTCTGGACTTTGTGATCTGTCCTGCCAGCAAAGCCCTGTCCTGATTACTGTGACTTTTATGCTAAGCCTTGAAATCAGGTCCTGTTAATCCTCCAAGTTTGCTCATTTCAGAAGTGTGATGCCTGCCAGGCTTCACATGCTCATGTAAATCTTGCAATCAGCCGTCGGTTTCCATGAAAAAAATGAAACCCTGCTGGGATTCCGACGGCCTTGCACTGGTGGGGAGACAGGCTCCAGTGTTCCCCGAGTTTTCTGACTGGGAACATGCGACCATATACCTGGAATGCCATGTAGCCTGTGGGACCCAGGACATAGAAGTTGCTAGATATGTCACTAAGTGCTTTGTACTCGTGAAGCGGCTTAAGTGACGCCTTTTCTCCATCCCATTTTTGGACTGTTGGCTGCTGGGATGTAGAAGTACAGCTGATTTTTTCATATTGACCTTGTGTCCTGTGTCTTTGCTAACCTAATTAGCTCTAGAGGGATTTCTGTTCATTTGTTTTTGTTTGTTTTTTGTAGATTCTTTAGGATTTTCTATGGAGACGATCATGTTGTCCCAAATAAAGTTAATCTTATTTTTTCCTTTCCAATCCATATGCTTTTTATTTCTTGTTTCTCCCTGACAGCACTGGCGAGGCCTCCCGCTTCACTCTCAGCGGGTGAGGAGAGAGCAGATGTCCCTTCCTGCTGCTGGCGCGAGGGCAGAGCACTGCTCTTTCCGTGGGAGTGACGTTCGCTGTGGGGCTTCTGCAGGTGCTGTTGACCAGGCTAGGTTCCTTTTCTCCCCAGTTTGCTGGGAACAGAGAGCCGTCAAGAACGGCTGTTGGACCTATGTCGGCGGCCTCTGCCCTGCTGAGATGGCCGCCCTCCTCTCCCCTTTTGCTTGGGAACCCAGCGAGCGACACCAACTGATTTCAGAGTGGAACCCTGCATCCCTCCCTGAGGCCCACTTGGTCCTGAGGCGCACGGACCTGCTGAGACTTGTGGACTGTGACCCATGCCACGCAGGGTGGCCTCTGTTCCGTTTGCCCATCCTGCCCTTGGCTGTGCATCAGAGGGAGCTGGGAGGCGTCGGCCGCCCGCCGTCTTGCGGGAGCTTGGCATTTCTCCCTGGGGTGTGGGGGGACTCGTGAAGCCTGCAGTTTCTGGTGGGGAGTTTTGCACTAGCGTTAGCAGGCCAGGCTCTCTGGTTGTCTCTTCAAAGGTGTTTGTCCCCAAGGAGCAGACGTCCCCACTGAATATAGACACAGACCACCAGGGGAGACCTTCCTGAGCAGTTTAGGGGCTATGTGGCCCCCAAGAGTCAGAAGGCAGCCCTGTGCAGGGGGACCCACCCCAGGGACCCCAGAGCTGCTCCCAGCCCCTTGCCACCCCCACCTGCTGCTGGCTACCCAGCGTCACATCCCTCCCCAGCCATCCTGCACAGGATGTGGTGGGAGCTGGGCTCAGACCTGGTGCTCCCTTTTAGCTCTGCTCCCCTGGAAGGCAGCCCCTTCCCCAGGGAGTGAACCCAAGGAGACAGGCTCCAGAGCCCAGGACAAGCTGCTGTGTGTGTCCCCCTCACTGTGTAAACTGCAGCCCTAAAACAACACCGTGCTTCTGAAGTTGTTCACATATTAGCTCTTAAAACAGCAAAATCCGTGCACAATTTCCTCTCAATCCCTTAAAACATTCCTGAAAGGAAAAAAAAAACTGTCTAAATTCACCGCCTGTCATTAAAATCTCTAGATCTGCAGAACGAGCAGGGCACCCGGCCGTCGGTAAACAGCGAGAGGGCTGCGGACTCGCCCGGCGCAGCCCTAAACACAGGGATCTGGGCACAGCACTGTGGCCTCTGCTGAAGGGACCCTTCCAGAACAAGGCACCCCAGCCAGGCGCTGCCCCCCAGTCTCTCTGCTCTGCTGGACTTAAAGTCCTGCGTAAATTCTTAACCAGGACACTTTAGTGGGCTCCAGGTGGGACCCCCCCTCTCCATTCCAGCCCCACTTAAGGGAGCTGTGGGGGGTGGGCTTCATGGTGTGAGGAGGCATCAGCAGTGGCCTGAAAGTGTGTCCGTTTGGCGGCTGGAGGCGGGAATCGCCTGCCGGGAAGGGGACGCTGTGTCCTGAGCACTGCAAGGCTGCCTGCCAGCTCCCCGTCCTGGGGCCCACGCTCCCCCACCACAAGTTGTCGGGGGCTGACGGGGGCCGCTCCGTGTGCAGAGGCCCCAGGTGTGACTCGGGGCTCAGGGCCTGCGCTCCAGGCAGCTCCATCTGCCTTTCCCACTGCTCAGAGTGTCTCTTCCACACACCCATCTTTGACTGCTGGTCCTTGGACTGGATGCTCCAGCTGCCCGAGTCCATCCTCGGAGCAGGAGTTCCGTGGTGTGGGGAAGTGGCAAGCCACACATCCCCCAGGAGCAAGCGCGCCGTCACCAACGCAGTGGGGACCCCTCCTGGGAGAGGCATTTCTGGACATCTGCAGGGACTTCGTCCACTCTCTGGCCTGGCCTGGGTGACAACCTGGTGCCACTTGCTGCCCCAGCAGGTCAGAAGTCCAGGACTGGGCATTAACAGTGTGGCTCCTTAGTAGGACGAGGGAGAGCCTGTCAGATCCCCCCCTTGCTGGTGGTTGCTCGAGTCTTGTTTGGTCCTTGGTTGGTACATTGCCTCCGCCCTTGTGCCTTGGTGTCACCAGCCCTCTTGGGTGGGGGCCCCCGCTGTTCCAGTAATCTGGTTCCCACCACCTCATCTTACCTAGGCACATCTGCAGCCCTGTTCCAAGCTGGTCCCACTTTGAGGCACTGCTAGGGAAGGGACCTGAGCCCATGGCTGGGGGCTGAGGGTGCTCGGACCCAGGACCAGCAGAGGATGATGGAATCCAGGGGACACAAACCTCGGGGCAGCCAGGCTGCCTGCCAGTGTAGAGTCACCTCACCTGTACCGCATGCTTGCCAACACGTTCTCTGCTGAGCTCTGTGCCTCCACGTCAGGACAGAGACCCTCTGGCCTACCTGGCTGTCCAGTGGTGCTGGAGATGGCTTTGTTCCCCACAGAGTGACAGAGGTGAAGCGCAGGGAGAAAGAAGCCACACAGGAGGTCTCCTCCACTGGAAGGAAGCCTCAGGAAAGTCAGTGGAGGGGAAACAGACTTGAGATAGGCACTTGTTCAGTTCTGTAGAGAACCAGGGGAGCTCAGAGTGCGGTTAGATGTCCAGACTCATGAGACACCAAGGGAACAGCAGTGCACCCATCGACTAAGAAATGTCAGAGCGCGAGGACCAAACAGGTACCACCTCAAGTGTGAAAAGGAAGAGAATCAGATCAAATGAATCCAATTGTACACTAAATATAAATGTCCCGAATTCCTCTGTTAAAAGACAGAGAATGTCAGGAGTATCCATGGTTTGTTTGATTCTGTTTTGCAGCTGGGAATCAAATCCAGGGCCTTGCACATGCTAGGCAAGTGCTCTACCACTGAGCTACACCCCACCCTGATTTTTATTTTAAACAGATGAATCGTTCAATAGAATTAAGCAAACCCAACCAATAATTGACTATTGAAAAATAAAAGGATGGCAAAAAATATGCCAAGAAACTACATACAAATATAAAGTTCAGGAAAAAAAACAAACAGGGAGGACATTATTGTCAACAGTGAAGTCCAGATATGATGAGTGTGGATGACGGATGGCACCACTTATGGGGGGAGGCCTAACTATAAATGTTAAGGCAACTAACAGCGTAAACTGTGTAAAGCTAAACCAGTGTGCAGGGAAGAGCAGGTTAAACATGGAAGGTTTACGCACCTCTTGCAGAACAATTCTAGCAGACACAAAGCAAGGACAGAGACTCAATTGTTGTGATCCTGAGCAGTTCCCTACTCTAACAGGAAACTGAAAAACCCGTTCCTATGATCTAGCTATGGAGCAGATATCCACTACTTTACCCCCTTCAAACAGCCACCAGGGCTCAGGTCACCGGCCTGCAGCCTGAGCTGGGCTCAGACCTAGGTGAGAAGCTCCCCCCCAGGAGCCCAGCAGGGCTGGCACGAGGCCCCTCTTCCCAGGAGCGTTCTGAAACTGCATTGCTCAGAGCTGGTCTCAGAAGCGAGCGTTCCAGGGGGTGGAAGTGCCAGGAGACTGCCACATCCTCCGTGCATCCTTCCTGCCTTCCCTGGTCACAAAGCCCAGTCCGTGGGAGGAGTGGCAGAGAGTGCCAGGACTGTTTCAGACCAGATCTCTGTTTCTGGATCCCAATAATGGAGACATTTTGTTTCCTTATGCCCACAGGACATTTTTGAAACAATTTGTTAAATTGTTTAAAGAACCTTAATACATCTCAAAATAGGGAGATTTAACTGGACAGATTCTCTGATCAAAACCCAATGCCATCATAAATACATTGTTAGAATATGGGGGGGGGGAGCTAGCTGACTGTTCTGCTGTTGAGCAATGCTGTCCTGGACAACGAGGAGAAAGGTGACACGGGGGACGTGGCGAGGTGGCTGTGCCCTAAACCATGCAGCACAGAAGGCCCTGGGTCTCTGCCCCATCCAGTGCTGATGCCAATCCCCTGCCACCACCCACAGTGCCTGCTGGGCTTTGTGACATGGGCAACTCCGCAGAGGGTGCCCTTCACCCCTCATACGGCCGTAGTGAGGCTGGTGCGCCTGTGCCTGTGTGCCCCCTCGTGGAGCCTGCTGAGGCCTGCCCTCTGAGGCCATGGCTTGGTTTGGTGTGCTGGGCCGGGCAGCCCTCTGCGGTTGCTTGTTTGGGATCTCTGGGGGCCCAGTTTGGGGCGGGGTCAGCAGGCTGGCCTATGGGCCTCTTCTCAGCACCGCCTGCCTCCTCCACCCCATTAGGTGTCGCCGGCTGCCAAGCCCTGTCTGCCTCCTGACCTCGGGGACACCCAGGCCAGGAGGAAGGTGCGGGCAGGCCTGGGCACCCCCACCTCGCTAGCTCACAGCGAGCAGGGTCCCAGGGCTGGAGGCACCTCGTTAAACCACCTGAAATGCATGCAACTCTAGTCCGCCTCCACGAGGCGCCGGCAGCACATGTGGAATTAAAGTCACCGAGGGGCCTTCTCCCCACCTGGGTGGGCAGCCTTTATTCAGGAGGCTGGGCCCAGAAGCCTGCGATCCTGGGAAGCATTTGGCCCTGATAATGGGTCCAGGAACGTGCTGGGTCCATGGGTGTGGCCTGAGTCTGGTCTTGGCCCTCTCTGCCCAGAGATGCCCCCCACTATGCACACACAGGGCTGGCCACCCCGGCTGCCTCCTGCTCAGACCCACTCAGGTGCATGAGTGACAGGCATTGGGAATTACAGATGAGGAGGAGGCCTGGAGCCCAGCTCCTGAGCTGGCGGAAGGGACCACCCAAGCCCCGGCCTGCAGGTGGAGTTTGCTCAAGGGGCGCCCTTGGGCAGCACACTGCACTTCCGTCATTCTGCAAGGCTGTCTTCTGGCTGGGATGACCACTAGGCCTGGAGAGTGTAGTGAGGTCTTTGGACGTGGCTCCCACTAGGCCAGAGGGAGGGGCAGGGAGACCTGGACCTAGCACCCAGAGCTGCCCGGGTATGGAACACAGGGCAGGGGCCACCTAGCCCTACAGGCCGTGTCTGTGACCTTGGCCTCATGAGCTCCACGAGAGCCACCGTGGACATGAGCCTCATGCCACCTGCTGGAGGGGAGCCTGGGAGAGGACCAGAGGACAGCTGTCACACACTCGAAGGCCCGGCTGCCGGGTAGGTGGGAACCCTGTCCCCATGGTGACCAAGCAAACCTTGTGGCCTCTCCTGCTCAGTGTGGAGAATGGCCGCCTGGACAGCTGGCAGGTGGGGCTAGTTCTCGGGGGGAAAGTGGCTCTGCGCTGCTCAGGGTTGCCCCAAGATCTATATTGCCCTCATGGTGGGGTCACAGAGCAACCGCTGATGCGTGGCCGGTGGCATCCAAAACCCACTCCTGGGGAAGGCCACTGTCCTGGGGCTCTTGGCACTCAGATGTCCAGCTAGCAGTGGTCAGCTTCTCAGAGGCCTCGTCTTCTCCTGCTAGGACTCCCGTGGGCCCAAGGAAGCTGGCCCGTTTCAGGACACCTTGGGCACCCAGGTGTGGAGGGCCGAGCCTGCAGGCCGTGGACTGCGCGTTCGGTGGGGCCCAAGGGAGCAGGGAACCACAGCGATTCCACTACCATGTGGGCAGGCTCTGGCCCAGCCTCCTGGTTGTGCTCACAGACCAGGGGGCACTGGACAGGAGGGCCCGGGGCAGGCAGGGGGACACTGG